AGGGAGCAATTACCCAAACTTCTTATACTGGGAGCCTGGGGCTTGGTCAATGTCTTTGTGTGCTGGGGGCTCATGTGCTGGCATTTAGAGGCTGTAGGATTCTGGCAGCTTACCTGTTATTGGGCTGGGATCAGCAACACTGGAGCTCTAGGGATAAGGGTGGGGCATCTGGCCTCTGGGGGATGTCTTCTCACCTGGGTCTTGCACAGGGATGTTTACCTGCTGGAGGATGTCTATAAGCCTGGAGCTTTACCTCTTGAGTTGTGCTTCCCAGAGTTTTCCTGAGGCACAGGGAGATTTGGCTGTTGGAGAACACCATCACATGTGGTGGTTTTCTGAGCTGGGGTCTACAGGTTCCCCTTACTGTATTGAGGCACTCAGGGGTTCTGGTATTGGTTGGGCCTGTTCCACTGCCCTAATGTTCGAGATCTCCCACTGGTATGCTGAAGTGGGGCTCTCTGCTGTCTTGTTGGCATGCCTCCCGTTCTGTACTGCTCCTCCTCCCTGGGCCTTTTCTATTAGTCCTCCAACCTTCCTTGGCTACAAGACTGCTGCCCCATTTCTTTCTGCTGGTTCAGCTGTTCCAGGGTTTTTCTGGGGTAATATTTTCTGGGCTTTCAAAAGTCAATAAGGGAGGGTGAGAGTGAATTACTTCTTACTCTGTCATCTTAGCTCCCAGAAGCTGACTTCATTTTATCTTTATTTCCCCAGTGCCTACACACTGTAGATATTCAATGAATGCTAGTTAATTCATCATTTGATCATGAATTACAACACTAAGTAATGTCACTTTCCCTAGATGTCAAAATTGTTGATTACAGGTTTATGGCATGGTGGTGAACTTAAGAGTCTGAAGACCTGAGTTAGAAACCTACCTCATACACATACTACCTTTGTGACCAGAGGCAGATCATCTAAACTCTCAGGGTCCCAGACAATTCCTTAAGACTATAAGTTGCCAAAAAATGATTGATCTGCATCAGTGGAGATAGTTTCCACACTGGGAGTTTCCTAAATGGATGAAATGAAAGCACTAGACTTCTGTTCCCACCAGAAAAAAAATGCTAGTCTTATTTCTTTTTATGTTTTTGTTTGTTGTTTTGCATATATGTGTGCTTGATTTCTTGTATACTATTTGAGGTTTGATTATTTAGATTTTTAACTACTGTTTTTGACTTTGGGCTCTCCCATTTCTGGGCACTGCTTGGAGAGCCAGAAGACAACAGATGGTCAAAAAGCTCTATAAACATTCAAGTATCACAGAAATCTCAGCTAAGTCAGAAAATAAAGAATCAAGATCCTCCAGCTATTACCTTGGAACATCAACCATATAAGTGTCAATCTTCCTTCTGAATTTTCAGACCTCATCATGGAAAGTAGTTGAATCAGTATACAAACTAAATGTGGCACTGAGTTTTATAGGACTTTTTAAAAAAGATGATAGGAGGAAGGGATATTCTTAAGATCAATTTGAAACTTACAGTTCCCAATCTGTTATCGACAGCTAGATAATACACGTCTGGTACCATCAGTTATTTTTAAACTACAGCTATTCATTGATTATTAATTCTCCTACCCGAAAAGAAAGCATCTACTGTATTTGGCCTTTCTTCCAAGTTATTTAGTACTGAGACTGTCGACAAAAAGATATGGTTGACATCATTTAGTCAATGGGACTTAACTTTGCTTGTTTTTAGAAAGATGGGTCAATGATTCAAACCTTTCTCCACTTCATCTGTCAGAGGTGATTCATATTTTTTCCTTTTTTTTTTTTTTAGGCAATTGGGGTTAAGCGACTTGCCCAGGGTCACACAGCTAGTAAGAGTCAAGTATTTGGTCTGAGGTCAGTTTTGAACTCAGGTCCTCCTGACTTCAGGGCCGGTGCTCTATCCACTGCACCACCTAGCTGCCCTGGTGATTCATATTTTACAATGCTTTGTTTTAATATACACATCATTATTCATGTCTTGTCTCATGTACAGGGAAAGTTTTCTTTTTTTTTTTTAACCAAGATCTGATCAAATTTCATCTTATCCTTTTTCATATGCTTTTACTCCAAAAATAATATTATAGATACTCCTTGAGCTGAAACTTGGGAGGTGGAGCTGAGATATGTAAGTTCATTCTATTCAATTCACTTCTTTCCTTCATTTGTCAATCTACCATGAGCCTTTAACCACTATAAGCTACATATGGGCCAAATTGCATAACCTTTTTTTCCTCTTTTTAAAAAATTTATTTATTTATTTTTAGTTTTTAACATTCACTTCCACAAGGTTTTGAGTTCTAAATTTTCTCCCTTTTCCTTTCCTCTCCCTTCCCCAAGACAGCATGCATTCAGATACAGGTTATACATAAACATTATATTAAACATATTTTCATATTAGTCATGTTGTAAAGAAGAATTAAAACCAATGGGAGGAACCACAACAAAGAAGAAACCAAAAAAAAAAAATAAAGAGCAAATAGTATGCTGCAATTTGCATTGAGACTTCATAGTTCCTTTTCTGGATGTGGATAGCATTTTCCATCATGAGTCTTTTGGAGTTGTCTTGGATCATTGCTGAGAAGAGCTAAGTCTATCAAGATTAGTCATCACACTATGTTGCTGTTACTTCACACAATGTTCTCCTGATTCTGCTCACTTCACTCAGCATCAGTTCATGTAACTCTTTGCAGATTTTTCTGAAGTCCACTTGCTCATCATTTCTTATAGCACAATAGTGCTCTATTACATTCATGCACCGCAGCTTGTTCAGAAATTCCCCAATTGATGGACATCCCCTCAATTTCTAATTCTTGGCCACCACAAAAAGAGCTGCTATAAATATTTTTAGACATGTGAATTCCTTTCTTGTTTGTATGATCTCTTTGGGATACAGACTTAGAAGTGGTATTGTGGGTCAAAGGGTATAAACAGTTTTATAGCTCTTTGGACATAGCTCCAAATTACTCTCTGGAATGGTTGGATTAGTTGACAACTCCACTAACAATGCATTAGTGTTCCAATTTCCCTACATCTTCTCCAACATTTATCATTTTTCTGTTTTGTCGTGTTAGCCAATCTGATAGGTGTGATGTGGTACCTCAGAGTTGTTTTGATCTGCATTTCTTTAATCAATAATGATTTAGAGCATTTTTATACGACTATAGATATCTTTAATTTCTTCATCTGAAAACTGCCTGCTTTTATCTTTTGACCATTTATCACAAATTGCATAACCTTAATATCAGTTCCTGGGCTGCTAATTTTATGCTCACATCAAAATACCATTGCTAAAACCATAATGAAAAATCATGCAATGGTTTTATGGAAGAAGCAAGAACATTCTTAAGTTGTGTCAAGCATTTTTTTAAAATTTTTAAAATTTGTTACTACAGTAAACTCTTTGATACAACTATTTAGAAAATTAGATACATGTCTTCTTGCTCTAGGAAATAGGAAGATGAGCATCTTATTTTAAGAGGATAACATTGTTCCTGATTGTTGTTGTTTTGTTTTGTTTTGGTTTTTGGGTTTTTTTAGTCTTTGACTCAAAGTAATCTAAATAAACAGTTAGACTCCTGATGTATCAGGAAACTTGAGTCTGAATATGGGGCCTACTTCTAATTAGCTCATTTCTAACGCCTGCTAGCATCTATACAGCAGCTGGGTGGTACAGTGGAAAAAGTGTCAAGCCTGGAGTCAGGAAGACTCATCTTTCTGAGTTCAAATCTGGCCTCAGACACTTACTAGCTGTGTGACCCTGGGCAAGTCATTTAACCCTGCTTGCCTCAGTTTCCTCATCTGTAAAATGAACTGGAGAAGGAAATGGTAAACTGCTCCTGTATCTTTGCCAAGAAAAACCCAAATAGGGTCATGAAGAGTCTGACGTGACTGAAATGACTGGACAACAAGAAGAATCTATTCCCTCTGCTCCTTTTGGATGTTCTCTTCTTTTTTTTTTTCTAATCCCAAATTAGGCTATTTCCTATCTTGTAGACTATAGACTTGTAACCTTGTAGCCTACTTCAAATCACCTTGGAAGTCAGCAAAGCAAATAATAAATTGTTTAACAGATTATTTCATGTCAAACTATCCAAACGTAATGTGAAATTCAAATATAACTTATTACCATCAGCCAACCCATAAGCAATTTGTCACCTTTGATCTTTCTAGTCAAGAGAACCATTCAAATATGTTTTTTTCCCCCTTTATTTCACTGCTGTCTCCAAATCCAAGAAACACTTTAATTAATGTGATGGAATAAATATTGAAAAAAAATGCCAGAGTGGACATATCCTTTCCCAGAATTTCTTTGTTGGGGAGATTCTAATATTTTGGTCTTGAACACAGCAACACAGAGAGAATTTGAGTATGCTTTTATAGCCCCCCGACCATAGGTATCCTTAAAACTTCCTGTGCCCCATTATCCATTTGATTTTACTATTGCCAACCAGTCCACAAATCAGCTTGGACTAGCATAGTGTATGAAAATACACAGAGGTAGCCTGCCTACATCATCTTCTCTAAGTAACAGAGGGCCAAATATGATGTTATGACATGGTTCTTATAAGGAATCCCTAGGTAATAGATCTCCCGTAGTATAATACATAACTCATAAATGTCAATTGAATAGATGAACAATTTTCTGCACCAAGATAAAATGAATTGGCCTTAAATCCCAAGATTGGCTGATCACTGGGAATACAGTGACAGAAAAAAAAAAGGAAGAGAATTTATCTGTCTTAAACTCTTTAACCCTTACTATATACCTTTCTAGATTATTCTCTATTTGATCTATCTATCTATCTATATCTATCTATCTATCTATCTATCTATCTGTATATGTATATACATCTTTTGTTTAGCTAATAAAATATGAAAAAATAACCTTTTACTAATAGTTTCATTATTCTAGATGTACTATAAGCTTCTGAAGGGCTGGTACATATTGTATATCTCTTAAGTTCTTCACCATGAGCAATGTAGTGTTCCTTTGTTCATTTAATTATAATAGATGTGATCTTTCTTTTTTTTTTAGGACATTTAATCTTCATGTCTAGTATAAGTGCATTTATAGGATTCGGAAGTGCCTCCTACTCTTTATCAAAAATTCTATTGGAAAAATTTGGTGAACACCTAAGTGCTGAACTAAAGAAATCTGGAGTTAAGGTAAGTGATTTTATTAATTTCTCTACCCATTAAAATAATTCCACAATTAAAATAAGGGTTTTCCAGCATACCTGAACACCTCTACTTCAGAAATGGACAGCTTTTCTATTTACATGGGAAAATTAGTCTGTAATGTAAACTAGAGAGAGGAAGCAACTGGATGTTGCCTCCTAAGGTTTCAGTGACTTACACTAAGGGTTAGGGTCAATGGATGTGAAGCATTTCACCTTACCAATTGTGAACTCACATTGGCTCATAGAACTGACATCTGTCTGATGCCATATTTCTTTAACTGGCTGATTCTATGGAACTATTTAGGAAAGAACACACTCAAATCTTGGGTAATGATGAAGAATATTCCTATTAGTTCTTGCTATTCAGTGCTTCATAAGTATCCTCTGAGATGCAAAATTAATACATTAATGCCCATCCTGATTATCACCAATAAAAAGGGTCACAAAGGAGTGACTTCTATTTTTATGACTCAAAATTAACCTGCTCAACATATGTCTTGTGATACAATATAAAATGTTAACATAAGTAATTGTGCTCTGTATTAGTTTCTAGTTGGATATTTCTGGGATGAAAGAAATAATCCATAATGTTAAAGAATGTTAAAGAAAAGATATGAATGCTCTGTGTTTTGGTCACAAGTCTGCCAGAAACACTGATTAATTAAACATCATTCCAAATCTAGGCATCTTCAATTTAGAGAAAGAAATATTCAAACTGACATAGTCTATCAATGTCTTCAGACATCTCTCACAAACCCAATACCATTTGATTTATAGCCATCTTGAAGAAGAAAAAAGGTGACAATATGTTAAATTATAGATTAGGGTTTAACATTCTATTTCAATAAATAGAACAATAATTGCATAATAATTGCTTAATTCTTTCTTTGGCCATTCACCTCAATTATACTCCTAGAATAATCAAAAGGGGTCTCCCTGTGATCAATATCTTAATCCTTTTTGATTTCTATTACCAAATGAGTATCTATGTATCTATGTATCTATCATCTTCACTCTTTGAAAAAATTTAAATGTGAGTGTGGTTGAAGCTTTGCCCATCCTGACCCGCCATTTTCCCCTCCACTGTAAAAGGTTTTCCTTGTGCACCCCTTTTATATGACGTAAATTTTTCCATTCTTCATCCCTTCCCCCTTTTGCTAGGGGATCTCTCTTTCTTGCTTATCCATTTTTTTATATTGCCCAACATAGTCAAATCACTCCCACACAATCTTTCTATATAGAATCCTTCTAACTGTCCTAGTAATGATAAAGTTTTTTTTACATGTATCATCTTCCCACATAAAAAGGTGCAGTTTAACTTTATTGAGTCCCTCATTATTTCCCTTTCATGTTTACCTTTTTTATGCTTTCCTTGAGTTTCGTATTTGAAAGTTAAATTTTCTATTCAGCTGTGGTCTTTTCATCAGGAATGCTTGAAAATATTCTATTTCATTAAATATCCATTTTTCCTCTTGAAAGATTATATTCAACTTTGCTAGGTAGGTTATTCTTGGCTGTAATCCCAGCTCTTTTGCCTTCCAGAATATTATATTTTAAGCCTTCAACTTTTTTAATGTGGCAACTGCTAAATCTTGTATGATCTTGACTGTGGCTCCAGGGCATTTGAACTATTTCTTTCTGGCTTACTAAATTTTTTTTTCCTTTCACCTGGGAGTTTTGAAACTTGGCTATAATATCCCTGGGAGTTTTCATTTGGGGATCTCTTTCTGATGATGATTGATGGATTTTTTTTTCTTTTTTTAAACAATATTTTATTTTTCCCTAATTACATTTAAAACAGTTTCTTTTTAAAATTTTGAATTCCAAATTCTATCCCTCCTTTCCTCCCTGACCTCCCCCTTCCCTGAGATGGCAAGCAATAAGGTTATACATGTTCAGTCATGTAAAACATTTACATATTAATCATTTTGTACAAGACTCAAATTTTTAAAAAAGAATGAAAGAAAGAAAGTAAAAAATAGCATGCTTTAGTCTGTATTCAGACAATATCAATTCTTTCTCTGGGGAAAGAAAAAAAGAAAGAAAGAAAGAAAGAAAGAAAGAAAGAAAGAAAGAAAGAAAGAAAGAAAGAAAGAAAGAGAGAGAGAGAGAGAGAGAGAGAGAGAGAGAGAGAAAGAAAGAAAGAAAGAAAAGAAAGAAGAAAGAAAGAAAGAAAGAAAGAAAGAAAGAAAGAAAGAAAGAAAGAAAGAAAGAGAGAGAGAGTTAAAGGAAGGAAGGAAGGAAGGAAGCAAGGAAGGAAAGAAGGAAGAGAAAATAGCATGCTTTAGTCTATATTCAGACAATATCAGTTCTTTCTCTGGAGGCAGATAGTATGCTTCATCATTAGTCCTTTGGGATTGTCTTGGATCATTGTGTTACTGAGAAAAGCTAAGTCATTCCCAATTCTTCACCATAGTATATTACTGTTACTGTTTACAGTATTCTCCTGGATCTACTCACTTCACTTTGCATCAGTTCATGTAAATCTTTCCAGGTTTTTCTGAAATCATCCTGCTTGTCATTTCTTATACCATAATAATATTCTGTCACAATCATATAACACAGCTTGTTTCACCATTGTCCAATCGATGGGCATCACTTTGATTTCCAGTTCTTAGCCATCACAAAAAGAGCTACTATAAATATTTTTTTGCACAGATAGGTCCTTCTGCCTCTTTTTTTTTATATCTGTGGGATATAGATCTAGTAGAGGTATTGCCGTTATCAGAAGGTATGCAAAGTTTGATTGCCCTTTGCACATAATTTCAAATTGCTCTCCAGAATAATTGGATCAGTTTGTAACTCCTCCAATATTTCATAAGTGTCCCAGTTTTTTCACATCTTCTCCATTTTCCTTTTTGTCATATTAGTCAATCCAATAGGTGTGAGGTGGTATCTCAGAATTGTTTTAATTTGCATTTCCCTAATAAATAGTGATTTAGAGCATTTTTTCATATGACTATAGATAGTTTTTATTTCTATGCCTGAAAACTGCCTGTTCATATTCTTTGACCATTTTTCAACTGGGGAATGACATATTTTTTTTTTATAAATTTGTCTCAGTTTTCTATGTATTTGAGAAATGAGGCCTTTATCAGAGATACTTGTTGCAAAATTTCCCCCCAGTTTTCTGCTTTCCTTTTAATTTTGGTTGCATTGGTTTTGTCTATGCAAAAACTTTTTACTTTTATATATTAAAAATTATTTATTTTAAATTTTTTAGTGTTCTCTATATTTTCTTTGGTCTTAAATTCTTCCCTTATCCACAAATCTGACAAATAAACTATCTCATGCTCTCCTAATTTGCTTATAGTTGTCACCCTTTATGTGTAAATCATGTACCCATTTTGACCTATTCTTGGTATATGGAATGAGATGTTGGTCTATATCTAATTTCTGCCATACTGTTTTACAGTTTTCCCAGTAATTTTTGTGAAATAGTGAGTTTTTATTTCCAAAGCTTGGATCTTTGGGTTTATCATATACTAGATTGCTATAGTTATTTACTATAATGAAATGTGTACCTAATCTATTCCACTGATCTACCACTCTGTTTCTTAGCCACTATTAAATTGTTTTGATAACTACCACTTTATAGTATTGAGATATGGTATGACTATATTACTTTCCTTCACATTTTTTTCATTCATTCCCTTAATATCCTTGAGCTTTTGTTCTTCCAGATGGATTTTGTTATTATTTTTGCTAGCTCTATAAAATATTTTTTGTTAGTTTGACTTGTATGGCACTGAATAAGGAGATCAATTTAAGTAGAATTATCACTTTTATTTATTGGCTCTACCTACCCATGAGCAATTGTTATTTTTTTCAATTGTTTAGATCTTATTTTATTTGTGTGAGAAGTGTTTTGTAATTGTATTCATATAGTCCCTAGGTTTGTCTTGACAGGTAGACACCAAAATATTTTATATTGTCTACAATTGTTTTAAAAGGAATTTCTTTTTTTTTTGCCACTGGATTTTTTATGTAGAGATGTTGGTGATTTATGTGGGTTTATTTTATATTCTTCAACTTTGCTAAATGTGAGTTGGGGCAGCTTCGCTGACCAGCAGCAAAGTCTGTGAAAGAGTTCTGAAAAGGGTTCTTGACTGAAGACTGCGAGGCAAATACGAAAGAGATGGGACTCCAAGCGTGATGGAAAACTGAGTCAACTTTATCACAGCACAGGAGGCAGTTTTATATCTTTGACTCATGGGAATATACCCCAATGTAACAGCAGACAAAGCAACAAATTTTACATATCTTTACCAATAGGCAACACCGAGAAGTTTTCTCATGCGAATACCAATCAAAGTATCAACAAGCACATCTCTTTGCAACATTGTCCTGGCTGTGTCCTTCTCCCCTGCTGTTCCTGTGAAAACACCATGCACTTCTTGTTCTGGAATGTCCCAATACTTGATACGTGAATTAGCAATACTTAATACATAAGGTAGCTAGCAATACTTGATACATGTTTGTGCTAGAGCTAGCTGTGCTTGAGCTAGCAACATTGTTTATGGTTGAGCTTGCCTAGCTGCCCTTCTTTCTGGTGAGTGGAGAACTGATCCAGGCCAAGGAGTAAGTTCCTCACCTGAGAGGGCTTATACAGCCATCAGGATCAGAGTCCTACTCACCTGTGGTCCTCTACAGCTAAAGCTGTTAATTATTTCAAGTAGCTTTAAAGTTGATTTTCTCGAATTCTCTAAGTATACCACATCATCTGTAAATAGTGATAGTTTTTGTTTCTTCATTGCCTATTCTAATTCCTTCTACTTTTTTTCTCTTATTGCCATAGCTAACATTTTTATTGCAAAAGGTGATAATGGGCATTGTTGCTTCTTTTTTCTCTTTTAGTTAAGTGTTCTTTTGTTAATTTAGATCATATTCCATTCCATTAATTTACATTTGGAATTGATATTACTTCATTGTTTAAGGTATCTCTGAATTAAATTATCTTTTTTTAATGTTTTATTTTTTATTTTT